AAAAATTAGGGGGCACTTGTGTGTCTCATGAGGGCTACAGATGTACACTTACTTGCTCTCCATCTGGCTGGTGGCCTGGTTCAGGGCATCCCGCAGGATGGAGTTCTCCTGCTGCAGGCGAGCCAGCTGAGTGTTGGGGCCGTTCTCCAGCTGCTCCTGCAGAGTCCGGATCTAAGAAGTCATAAGGAGGCATCAGATGCTGCTCAGCCACAAGGAGAAATGAGTTCTGGGCTGGGGTTAGTGAGGCTGCAGCCCACAGAGGGAACAGCCCACCTCCAGGAGGCCCCTGCTCTACATGGAAGTCGCAGGAGCCATAAAACAGGCCTGTAGACTGACAGCTCCAGCCCAGAGACTCGAGGCCTGGTGTGACCCCAGCGACATCCAGCAGCTGGCCGTTGAGCACTGTACTCTGCTGTAAAATGCAGTCCACACCTTTCTGCTCAGTTTGTTTTTCTGGCACTGGGGACTGAGCCCAGGGCCTGTGCACTGAGCTACGCCCCCGCCCTTTTCTACTTTGTATCTTGAGACAGGGTCTCGCTAAGTCACCCAGGTGGTCACTAAGGACTGCACGTGCCTCAGGCTGTGTGACACCAGCCAACCCGAGATGCCCACCTTGCCCTGTAGCTGCTGCACCTCCTTCACGTGCTCTCGGTAGCTGGCCTGCATGCGCGCCTGCACCGCCGCAATCTCCTGCTCCCGCGCCACCAGCTGCTTCTTCACCTTGGCCTCCCCAGCGGCAGCCTTGGCCTTCTCTGCAGCCATCTCCTGAGGCAGCAGAGAACATGGCGGTCAGGAGTGGGCTCCTTTACTTCTGGCAGAGTGGTGACGGGGTGGGCTAGCTCACAGTGGAGTTGGTTTTCTGGTCTAGGCAGAGAGGTGAGGTTCCATACTGCCGCCATGGCCCAGCACACAAACAGCTCTCTTTGGGCAACTTCTTTTGGGTTCTGGTCACTTTTTCTGCAGTTCCAGGGGTGGAACCCAGGACATGGAACATTCTAGGCAAGTGCTCTACCACTGAGCTGCACCCTCAACCCTTGTAATTTTATCTCGTGATAGAGTCTTGCTAAGTTGTCCAGACTGGCCTTGAACTTGTGATCCTCCTGCCTCAGCCTCCCAGATAGCTAGAATTACAGAATGTGGCACTGTACCCAGCTTTCTGGTCTTACTTTCTTCCCAGCACCATTCCTCAAGCTTACTAGGGATGGCCCTTGGCCCTCTGAGATAAAGGTGGAAATGGCACTCCTTCCTGGTGCCCCAGCAGCACACCTGACACCCCCAAGGGCCCTAGGGTCTCCTGATTACATTCGATTCAGAGCTCAAGCTCTTTCCAGGCCATGATGATCAGGTGCAGCAAAGACACAATGCAGAGCTTCAGGATAGAGGCCTGGGACACCTGCGTAGATGGGGGCTCCCTGAGGCTCAGCCTCCCAGGGGTCAGGGACTGGCAGGGGACACCTCACTACAACAGTGACCTCCGCGTGGGACAGGGACAGGGCTCCAGGAGGAGGCCAAAGTGAGTCTTATAGCATAAGAAGGAAGTGTCTGGACAGCCACAGGAAGGGTATGGGAGGCCCCAAGAAGGAAGAGCCACAACAGGTCAGACAAGGGGGAGCAGGAAAGGCGTATGCAGGATGGCAGGGGTGTGTGTGTAAGGAAGGGGCAGGCACAGTGGGTGTGGCAGGTACTGCTTTGCATGCAGACTTGGGGTGGAGGGCTGTAGCCCAGTGGCAGAGCTTGACTGTGCTTTCCAGAAGCATCTGGAAGTCCAAGGGGGCCTCCTTGGGCTGTGGAATGGAGATGTGATGAGCGACACAGACAATGCCCGACATGGTATTTAACTTCAACTCAGAGCCAAGGGCCATGCCAGGGGAAGATAAGAAGGGAAAATCGCCAGGGGGCAAATCCTAGCACCCCAATTGGAGGGCAGGACAGTGTGCACACCTGGTGAGGGCACCCCGGGGTTGCTGCCATTGTGGTTCCAGACTCTTCTCCTTGGGGCACAAGTCTGCTAACCCCCACGAGATATGGTGTGGACTGATAGGGATGCAGCGCTCGGGCGCCGGACAATGACCCACAACCAGGGCAGCTCTGAGGAAAGCTGGCAGCCATATCCTGGACAGGAGACAGAAGCTCTGGGGACAGAAGGCCTCAGAGGCCAACTTGACTCTACCCCGTGCCTCGCTACAGAGTTCATCTTCCTTCTTCCTATTCCCCCACCCCAACAACCTTTGCCGTGTGCTTCACAGGTGCACAAAGCAAACTGTCTTGCTTCTTTCTGATTCTCACTGAGCAGCTGGAAGCACCCACAGGGAGGGCTGCAGGTGGGATGGTGTGGACACCCTGTGTTGGGAACACTGGGGCACCACGGCTCCTTGGGAGAGACCACACCAACCTGAGCCAAGTCCCCAGCCAGGCTCATGTGGTGTGGACCTGTCACCGACTGCTGCTGAGCAAACCCTTGCCTTGTCCTGCTCAGCCAGCAGCCGGTCCCGATGAGCCTGTGTGTCCCTGCACATCACGCCATGGCTGGCAGAACAGGGACAGAGATAGCATCCTCTGCACAGGGCCCAACTCTCAGCTGTGCCCCACCTCCTTCCTAGGATGGCCAGTGACAGCATGTTCAGGTCATCCCATCACAAACTGAGATCCCAGATCCCACATGTTCTTAATGAGGAAGGGACCCTGCCCCCCACCCAGGGGTATCCCCATAGCAGACATCTTCACCCAGGGCTCCAGAACAGCCCCTTGCTGGGTGGCACAGCTTCACCCCAGGGCCCACCCTGAACCATGGCTGTGACCTGAAGGCAACTATAGCCTTGAAGTCCAGGGGGTTCGGGGAGGGGAGGAAGGCTTCCTGGCTCAGGCTGTACCTTGTTGAGTTCCCTTAGTTTGCTCTTGGCCACAGCTGCATCCTCTTGCTCTGTGGCCAGCAGTTTTTCCTTCTCTTCCAGCTGACGTTTCAGAATCACCACAGGGTCACCCTTCTGAGTGGCCTGGAAACACCCACAGAGCTGTGTCAACACCCAGCCTGTCCCCACTTTGGCAGCCTGACAAAAGCAGAGGCCCATGCACCTGCCAATGCAGGAACAGGGCTTTAAGGCCAGCCATTCCACCCCATCAGGCATGGATGAGGAAGAGGAGGCCCTGCCTGGTCACCAGCCTCCTGGGGCCTCCCAGACCCTGTGGAGAGATCCTGGGTAGCTTTCCGGACCATGGCATTTCCAGACCCGCTGAGCCAGGGCCTGAGGAAGGGGAGGCCCTGACTGCAGTGCAGGAATGAGGCTGGGTAAGGGACTCTGGGGATAGTGTCCTCGCACCCCGAGCAAGGAGCTTCCAAATCACTGGGACCCAGGGACAGCATGGAAGGGGATGATCCCCCGGCCTTGGGAGGGAGCCTGAGCCTGGCTCTCAGAACGCCTGCCAGCACTCATCTGGCCACCACTCTCCAGCAGTCACCCCAAATCCATCCCGGGTTAAGATGGGTGTGAGCACACCGCATCTGAGTGAGCATACACTCTGCCCTTACCGGACAGCACTAGGGGAACCAGAGTGGTGTCATGCTCATCATTGGCTCTCTCTGCCTTTCTTCCCACACCCTGATCCAGGCACAAACTAGGCCCCAGCTCCCTCCCATGTGCCATGCAGGCCCCATACTATGCAGGTGCTGCCCATGCCCCACCCCCACCCTCAACAGCTGCCCAGTTTGGATGGCCAGGTGACCCGCACATCTGAGCAGGGCAGGGGCACAGGACTCCTCTGGATGTTTTGGGATCTTCTCTTTGCAGCTCAGCAAAGTCGGGGAGGCTGGGTGGACTGAGGGCTGGAAGGAGAGGCAGAGGGGCAGCTGTGGTGTGGCCCGGGATGGGGGAAGACTCACCTTGTGCCAGGTGTCCTGGATGACACCAGCCTTCTCAGACAGGATCTCGATGAGCCGCTGGGCCTCACCCTCGTTGAATGCCATGCTTCCGACCATAGAGACCAGTGTCTTGTAGGGCACGTAGAGAGGGCTATTAGCATCAAGGGGCCCTGCAGTGGGAAGAAGCAGGAGCTTACATTCACACCCCAAAACAGCCAACACGGCCACAGGATGTCTGCCCAGGGCCAGCAGTCTGGAGTAGGGGGCTGGCCTGGGCCTCCTGCTCTTTTAGGGCACTGATCATGGCCAAATGCTGGGCCCCATACCATCTTTCTAACTTGCTGGAAGATAGTGCCAGCCTGGGCTGTAAGTCAGGCCCCCCACCTTTTTTATCAAGATGACCCTGAGCAGAGTTAAAGAAGGCATACTTCCCCAAAGGGTTACTTTTCCTTCCCTCCTTTTCTAGCAAAAGTCCTGGATCAGCCCTCAGCCTGCACTGCTCAGGAGGGTGTTTCCACTAGGATGTGACCTAGCCCTGTGGCCCTGGGGACCCTGACTGACTACACACCCGAGACACTGCAAGGGATAGATGAGTAGGGGAGGCTGTGTCCACACACCCAGGTCACACACCATCTCCAGCTCTCCCTGGATAAAACTTAGGCAGTGACAGGTCTGGGAGAAGTGAAGCTGGGCCACAAGGGACACCTAGGACACAGAGCCACTGGCCAACGGCCACCTCTCACTGCAGGAAAACTCCGACCACCCTTGCCACGTGCACACACACAGGCACACTCAGATGCACATGAGTGTTTCCCTCTCATCATGGCTCTCAGAGGAGCATCATTTAAGGCAAGAAAGGCCGAACTTGATGGCATTCCTCCAGCAAAAGACTGAGCTCTCCCACCCTTGAACAGAGGCCTAAAATGTGAAATGTGCTGAAACAAAGGGAGCAGAGCAGCCTTTAGCCAAGCTGGACGAGGGAGAGGGGAAGGGGACCAGGAGAGGAGTGGGGAAGGTTTCCATAGCAACCCTGAATCCTCTGACTTGTCACAATATTTTCACTTACTAGTCACAATATTTTCATTACAAGTTAAAGCACTTAGTGTGATACCTTAATAACAGGAATGTGGGATGTGGGCGAGCTGGTTGCTATGAGTACCTTTATTTTATAACTTCTTATCCTGGTGAAGCTTGGAGATTACCCAAGCACACGTGTCAGAAGAAAGAAGAGGGCCACCTCGCCTGAGAGCACAAGGGTGCCAGGGGAGTGGGCGCAGGGCCCCTTCTTTCTTCTGACGCGTGTGCTTGGGTAACGTGTAGTCATTACAGTGGTCGGCTGGTGTGCCCTGGAGAAAATTTTGATTTCTGTCAGGCTAAAATAAAACAAAATCTCTGTGAGTGAGCTTGGGAAGCAACACTGGCCTGATTCTGGTTCTGGGATCCCTGCCCGGACCCACACCACCCCACGCTCCAGATGTGCATTCACTGCTGATGTTGTCTGCTGTCTGGACAGGGAGTCACAGGCTGGGGGGTGGGGTGGATTTCCCCTGGGTACAAGGGTCCAGTACAGCAGAGTGGCTCATGTGACTCCAGGATGACAAGCAGGACATTTATACCAGAACTCAAAGACTTGGCTTAAAAAAAAGGAATGTAAAACATCTGTAATCATGTTACACACTGACTGCGTGTTAGAACGACACGTGGGGTACACTGGAAATTCATTTGTTCCTTGCTAGTCAGTACTGTGCCCAGTGGACATCTAAGCTGCCTATGGGGTTCAGTGTGTGGGTTCACAATGTTTCTATGTGCCAACTGTTCTACTACTTTCAGCCTTGGGGACCCCAAAACAGCCCCTGCCAAATCCTGGCAAAACCAGCAGAAGCCCCAGCATGACCCAGGGCCCTGTCCTCTCCTGAACTTGCTACTGGACAATGTCTTAGGCTTAGGCCCAGGCCCATGCACTGCTGAAGGGAGATGCCTGGCTGGTGCTGCTGAGGCAGCTTTCCACGCACATGTCACTTCTGCCCTGGATGCCCCTCACCATCCACTCCCTCCCGCACTTTCTGTCCTGTGTTCCCAAGGGTGATCTTTGAGAGTAGCAGTCTAGTGGACTGTTTGTAATTACATTACATTTTGTTAAATAATTTAACCTAGTAGGTGGGAGTGGTGGTGCATACCTGTAATCCCTGCACTCTGGGAGGCTAAGGCAGGAGGATTATAAATTCAAACCCAGCACAGCCAACTTTTAAATTGTGTCCTTCTCTCAAAAATTTAAAAAAGGGCTGGGAATACAGGTTGGTGTGATGGCCCTGGGCTCAATACTTAGTATTGAAATATACTTGTATCAAGTAACACAATCCAAAGCTATGCACAGCAAACTTTAACTCTCTCCCCTGGCCCCAGGAGCTTACCTGGCCTTAATCATGCTCATACAAACTTTCTTTTACATGATCTTTAAAGGGCCACAACCTTACAAAACATTTTTCATTAAATCTTTTTTTAAGTAAGAACTATACCATCTCTCTTCTTCCCAGATCAGGGGCAGTAAAACAAAGAAAAAAGCACAGCACTTAGAAAGGGGAAGCCTGGACACCCGCCCCCCGCCCCCGGGGTGTGCCAATCACACAGGGCTCCAATTGGAGCCCGCTGACTTCTCCAGTAATCCCTGCTCTGGTGAACTTCAAAGCCACCGAGATCAATCTGCCAAAGATTCAACATGCAATCTGTTAACCGCAGACTCCAGAGACTCAGGAGGGAGCTCCACAGGAGGCCGCCCGCCCCTTGGGGCTGTACCTCCAGCCACTGCCTGGCCTGCAGGGGCTGAGAGACCAAGAAAGGCAGCTGGCCAGTGGGACCTGGGGGAGAACAGCCAGAGCAGCTGTGATGACATTACCGAGACCCCCTCCTGGGGGCAGGGGACACAGCAACACCAACACAGGTCAAGCCGCTTGACCCCAAGGATGCCCCACAGGAGCTCTGGGCCAGCAACCTCGAGCTGCAGACTGGCCTGAGAGATGTTCACATGCCATCTCCTGACCTTTACCCCACCAAAAAACAAATGAAGGAATAAAACCACCCTGGGGGTGAACAAACCCATCCATAGGCCAGGTCTGATCTGCAGGTCACCTCTGTCCTTGGTCACAGCAAGGCTTCAAGAAAGAGCCAGGTGGCCTGGGCTGGGACTTCAACTCAGCTGCTTGCCACCTGTGTCCACAGACACGTGACTTAGCTACTTTTTGCCACTGTGCCCTGGTCTGGGATGTAAGATTGATGATCATCCCTTCCTCACTGCTTGGCAAGTTAAACTGCAACATGCCCCCACCAAGAAGCGTGCAGAGGCTTGCATAACGTGTATAACACCCCGGGTTTCAAAACTACACTGCCTTCCACGACCACACAAGAAGGCTTCATCACCTAGGATTAAACTTGCGTTGCAAAGAGCATTTTTCTCTCCTACTGTCCACTGTGGGTCCTCTGATGAGACTTTTCGCTTTGCCTGCATAATCCCCAGGCTTCCAAAGGTCAGGCCTCAGCCACAGAAGAAGTCAGTAGCTGCCAGTCTGAATGCGTGGCCACTCCCCTGACAACAAGGGAGGGCACCAGCAATTCCCCGCCACTTCCCAAGCCTGCTGGCAGCTAACAGCTACCAAGAGGGCATTTGGTCTTGGCCCTGTCCAGCCGACTGCCATCACTAGGTGCCCAGCCAATGCCCAGAGTGGGAAGGTCCAGATGCTCTCCAAACATGAGGTATGCACCTACTGTGTACCTGCCAAATGAAATGCCAAGCCTGAAAAAGAAAGAGTGGGGTGGCAGCTAAGAGGCAGTGCATAGGGCAGTCATGCAGCAGAGCAACTTGCAGGGATCCCAGGGAAGTAACTATGGCAGCAGGGCCAGAAAAGGCCTCCATGCAGGGGTGTCTCAGCAAAGCACTGCCTGAGGAGGCAGCACAGGAGCTAGAGGAAGGGCAGCAGCCTGGGAAAAGCACGGAAGCCTCCTGGGCCGGAAGCATGACTAGAGGGGCAAGCTTCATAGACCCAGAGATGTGGGCTTCATTCTACAGGCAAAGAGCAGGGAAGCTAGGAGGGAGAGATCTTAACAGTACAGAAGAGTGACTTCAGGATGCCCAGAAGGACAACGCTGGAGGCGGGCAGCCAGGGAAGAGCCACATTCAGGAACCTTGATGCGCAACCTCACAAGAGGCCTGGTCTTGGGGACTGGGGGAGAATCCAACAGCCAAAGCACTTGTCTTCTTGGGGACTAACTTTGAGACCCCTTCTGAAGGCCTCTCCTGGATGTGTGGATAGAGGCCCAAGAGCTGCTGGTCTCCCCACCTTATGCATTGCGCCCTCCACAGGAAGGATGTCAGACCCCCAACCTTAAGCAAATCCTATACCCGGCCCCTAATACCCTGGCCAAATCAGGTCTGGGGTAGAAGGTGCAGGCAAGGGTGCAGCAAGGGTGCCTCCTCAAAGCCAAGTGCTGCAGTCACCTACAGCCACAGATCCTGGGGCTGAGAGTAAGTCCCCTCTTCTGCTGACCACAGTCCCACTACCTCAGGAATGAGGCAGTTGGGCCAACTTCATTGACAGGCTCTCCCTCTCTGCATGTATGTGACCAGGAAGCTTGTAAGGGGCATGACACTTATAAGAGCCACTCAAAGCACCACCAAACGCATCCATGGACACACCCAGTTCCTCTCAGCTGGCCCACTGGCATCCACCTGCAGCAGAGGTAGGCCCGAGCGGGACACACTACCCTCTCACAGGATGCAGGCTGAGGAGGAGCAGCTACACCTGACTCCCGTTGTTGGGAGGTTCAAGTGTACTGAGCCAAGAACAATGCCAAGAACAACCCACCCATCTGGAGCCACAATGAGGCCGTTTCCACTGGGTGGAAGAAACACTAATCTGTTACCAAATTAGGAGGATGTGCATTAAACGGCATCTGGTGGAATTTTAAAATATCCTATAGACTAACTTTGTTTTCCTCTTTATACTTCTGTTCTTTTTTTTTTTTTTTTTTTTTTTTTTTTTTTTTTTTTTTTTAACCATGGATCGAACTCGAGTTCTTGTGCTTGCAAGGCAGGTGGTGGACCCACTAAGCTAAATCCCCGGCTATACTTCTGTTCTTTACCCCAGAATTAAAAATAAATTTATACCAGGAAAAAACT